AGGTAGACTGGCACAGGTCAGAAGCAAAGCTGGTTATTTGATCTTGCTTTTTTAAAGAGAAGCCTCACCACTCTCTTTGCTCAGATTACTTAAAGTCCAAACCTATGGGATTGAACCTGTTTGAGTTCTCCTATGAATAGAAATCCCATCTGTTTTTCTTCTGATTCCAGAGACCGCCGTCACACGGCGGCGACGGGATTTCCCTTCACCTTATTACGTTACTGAGAAGGCAGCGCTCATCTCTGGTGGGCTCCAAATATGTGTTCCACTACCACCTACCAGAAGTTCGAGAACAAACGAGAAATGTCAGGAATTGTGGCACTTAGTGGAAACAACTAGGGTTGAGAAGAAAATCCGCAGCACCTGCCAAGACTACAGTAATATGCTCGGCGTGCACAATCAGGTGGTGCCGCTAGAATGCCCGGTCTATATTCCTCGGCATTAAAGTGTTTTCTATTAGTCTTTCTAATACCGAGACCCTTACCAATGCTCTTCCCGCCGAAGCACATTATACGACCCGAAAAATGATTTGCAAAAAAGTGGAAATGAATGAAAAAATGAATAAATATGATGCCGTTTTACAAGTGTCCGCCCTGCTTTCCTATCTTCCACTTGACTTACCGATAGAGAACACGTAACGAAAATGCAGATTGAAAAGGAATTCGTGAATGAAGAGGAGTTTTTGGTTTCTGTCCTACTCTTCCTCATTGCTCATTCCGTATAAAGAGGCGCATTTCAGGTCTAGACCATATAAATGTCAACAGTGCTCGAAACGTTACAAGACCACGGCAGGCTTGTCAAATCATGTAGAGCAATCACATAAGAAACAGTCAGGTTAGCATTTCAAATTTGCTTGATCACCACATTGTATTCAAAAGATAAGCTTCCCTCTTTATCCGTTTGTTCGTCACTTTGCTCGGAAAATTGGAGATTTTGGCAACTAAATCTCAGCGCATCAATTTGGAGATAGGTTGGGCATGCCTAAAAAACACACGAAGACACACAAGCAAGGTGATTCTGAGCAACCGACAGTAAGCGGAGTTTGTGCGAAATTGTTGAAAAAATCGCATATTGGAATCACTACGTCGCCGAATTAAAATCTCAAGTCAGCATAACGACTAAGTGACGGCCCGTAGATCGGAAGAAAGTAAAGAGGCTAGCGAAGAAGGGAGGTGAAGACCTGTAGTGGGTGGGGCGTACCTTGAGGTGGGCGGACCGGAAATCGTGCGATATTCTTACCAGGAAGGTCTTTCAGGGCGTGACAAGCTTTTTGAAAACGGTCTTTTGCATGATATAGGGGCAGATGCGGGAACCACAGAACCATGTTCAATTTTTCCTGAACGGCCCTCTGAATACCAGAAAAGGGGTCCCTAGTTCGATTCCTCTTGGTGACAAATTTTTGCATTTCGAGTTGACGTGCCAAAATTCGCGCAAAATGGAGTTAGAACCAACCAGAACAATCAGAACTCCATTTTGCGCGAATTTTGGAACGTCAACTCGAAATGCAAAAATTTGTCACCAAGAGGAATCGAACTAGGGACCCCCTTTTCTGGTATTCAGAGGGCCGTTCAGGAAAAATTAAACATGGTTCTGTGGTCCCCGCATCTGCCCCTATATCATGCAAAAGACCGTTTTCAAAAAGCTCGTCACGCCCTGAAAGACCTTCCTGGTTAGAGATGATTGGGACCGAGGAAAACTCTGTAGTGGATAGAAGGTGATGAAGGAGTGCAGTCTTCTGGTGTTCTCGGTATACTGGGTAGGTGCCAACTTGGCGGAATTGGAATTCCTATTGCTCTTTCCCCCTTATTGCTGACCCCCGTCTGAAACGCGATAGCGTTTGGAGCCATTTGGTGAAGGTTGCAGGTGGTTTTCTTGAGGAATTTTGGAGTAATAAGCGGCACATAATACCAACTGGGAACGTTATATCTTCGTAAGCAAACAACTGAAATTGAGCTGTTAGTGCCTAGTGAAAAAAAAAACTTTATAAAGCTTCCAGCCTTGCAGTTTACTGCCGATATCGGCTAACCGGTTCATCACGTTATACGTGTGAATGCTGATAAGCTATGGTAACTTTACCATCGAAGCTGAGTTGGGGTGAAATGGTGCCCCGGTAGGTGTAACTGGTAGCACAATTGCCCGGAAAGCAAGAGATCCACGAATCCCGGCTGGAGCGAAAATTTTGCCCACAACTCAGCATCCTTTTGATAAAAAATATAGCCTATCAAGTGTTGTATTATAGTTTTGATTTGCTAGGTGGTTGTGGTACGCCATCGTCTACGGATTCGGCACCAGCGTCTCCCTCACCGGCGGTATTGGACCAGTTGATTTCTCAAGCCCGGGCTCACGGGCAGGCTACTGCTGCCGCTGCTCAAGAGCAACAAGTTAGTATATCATTCCTTACGTTAACATTGAGTTGCGTAACATACCTATTCAGCGAGCTCAACAACGTCCGCTTCCTGTTCAAATTGCCAGTACTGCTAGTCATCAATACGGCCAGGTGAGGCATTTCGAAGGATTATTTGTCTCTTAGTGCATGTTCCCTGGTCAATTCTTGACCATAGATGGTTGACTGGCTCTTGAAACCAGAACAACATGCTCCGAAGAGACCAAGTGAGAAATAGGTGTGTTGGATTTGCGCCGTACAATTAACTCACTTGCAGCGTGCGAAAAGACGCATGTGGGGTTATTGGTTCGGAAAGAGCCGGCTATCCGGCCAAGTCAGCGCACAGAGCATTTAGAAGCCGCTCGTAGGTGACATAGGGCTAAACCCAGAAAGAGAAACGCCAGGGAGAGCAGAGGCTGCCCACGTTCTCGTCCTGCATCCATTCCCTTCCCTAGGCCTAGTGCAACGTTGTGTGTTGCTCACTCATTTCATTTTTTTATGCAGTCTTCTCGTATAACCGCACCCTTTGCACTGAACTTTGGTACCAGAGAATCTGAATTTCTCGGGAACATTTTTTTGCTAGCGATGAATTGAAATCCAAGTGTATAGTCGTAACGGCCCTAACCATTCCTGCAGAAAGAGTCCTAGGTCGCCATGGCCATCTGAGAAGATGTATACCCGCATGTGTTTTTGAACGATGCCCGCATGTGTTTTTGAACGCTGATCTCGAATCTGACTTCCCAATCTGCTAAGCGATTCTCTGACCGAATGGTAATGGTAGTTATCGACGATCAAGACGCTGTAGGATCAATGAACTTCTTTTATAAGGGATTTATGAACTGCCAAAAAACAACACAGTAATTATTAGGGGTCGATTCTACGACGTCTTGACTGTGAGTCCTGAACACTACCCTTGCGTTCTTCTCCTGGCGTTTAGAAAACCCATCTGGGCGTGTATACCACTTCTTGAGCGACCGTCGCGTCCTCCTTATAACTACGCTGCGCCTTCGCTCCCTGTTGAGACTAGCTTGCGAAAAGCAGTCACATTGCGTTGGTCCTTTATCACACATTCAGGCTCTCTACAGCAATACTTTCCCTCTTTTACCAGTGAGAATACTGTCGTACGTTTGAGTCTGGCCGCAGAGCCCACAACCATCCTCCAAATACGGCGCCCTCGTTGATTATCTGCACAATTACAGACTCTGGTCGACGCGTCCTATAGACTACTGTCTCAATATTCGTGCACAGATCTTCCCTGATTCCATTCGTTGTAGCGGACGTGTGGTGTAATCATACCTCATATTTTGTTTGATGAACTAAGTAAAAGACTACTGATATAATTTCTTTGAGGTACGGCTCCGCATTAGGAGTACAGTTTGAGCCGCAATAAACTCGCCATTCAGTAAATTGAATACTTGTTAAGATGATGTACCGCGCTCCACTTTCCCTGTTCCGCTCGAATCCAAATACTCATTCAAGATATACACAGGGTCCAGAGTAGCTTGACAAAATTTTTTTTGTTTCCATTACATATCACTTGTATTTTCGCTAACAAGGAATGGTCAATTGGTCGGTCCGGCCGTTGTAATGAGGTGTAGTTTGATGCACGCGTCTTGCGACGCTGAGCTCAAATCCGTTTTCGGTTTTTGCCGAACGATTCTCTGAACGAAGTTATGAGGGATTCTTCTCACTGCGGCTATCTCACTGTGGCGACCTCTACACCCCCCCCCCCATCCCACTTATCACACATAAGAAGAATCGCGGAGCATTTCGCGGTTCTTTCAAGGTTGCTCATACGAGCCCAGAAAGCGCTATACTGCGTTATTTTGTTATCGTTCTGTTCGTTCGTTCTGTTTTTACGCGAGCCAAGTGGGATAGGGGGATGTAGAGGGCACCACAGTGAGAAGAATCCCTCATAACTTCGCTCAGAGAATCGTTCGGCAAAAACCGAAAACGGATTTGAGCTCAGCGTCACAAGACGCGTGTAGCGGACTACACCTCATTGCAAACGGCCGGACCGACCAAATGACCATTCCTTGTGAGTACAAGACAATCTTTTATTTTTCGCAGTCTCAAGTTATCCTCACCTAGTTTGACTATCTCATTTCGTGTAGTTGATGCGATTGCTTCCCTTTTTTGCTTTGCCTGAATAACATCAGCACCTAAATATTGTATAACACAGAGAGGCACCAAAATTTTATTTCAAAAGAATTCCAAAAGTTCAGAAAGTTCGAAAATTCCAAAAACTCGAAAGTTTCAAAAGAGCAAAAAGCTATTTGAAAAAGAATCCTTTTGAAATCCTCCGCGATATTTCGGTGTTTAACACCTTCTTCAGGCATGTGTTTGCCACTGCCAAGTGTAAAGCTGCCCGTTACGGGTAGATTTCTCTTCACTACAAAGGCGCGGCTCCCGTAAGGGCAGCTTTACACTTGGCAGTGGCAAACACATGCCTGAAGAAGGTGTTAAACACCGAAATATCGCGGAGGATTTCAAAAGGATTCTTTTTCAAATAGCTTTTTGCTCTTTTGAAACTTTCGAGTTTTTGGAATTTTCGAACTTTCTGAACTTTTGGAATTCTTTTGAAATAAAATTTTGGTGCCTCTCTGTGTTATACAATATTTAGGTGCTGATGAGGCTCCGGGACAGCACAATATTAAGAGACAATTTCAACTATTCAGATTACGGGTCAGCAAAATTCGCAGTTAATCCAACAGCACCACCAACCAAGGAGAACTCAATTCGGAAGTCATCAGGTAATACTTCATTTACCTTTCGTACAGAGCAGATATTCCAGCATTTTGTTGAGTCAAGAACAGGTATGGAGTAGCATTCTCACCGGATTCTACACTCATTTTTGGTTGAAAGAGTAGCGCACCTTTTCCTCGGAAATTACCAATAGGCGATACATTACTTGCACTTGAGTAATGAGGGAGTTTCTTCCTCTATCCCTTTCTTTCCGTTTTCTAGGAGCTCTCACAAATCTCGACTCAAGAGATTGAAATAAAACGAGCAGAGGCCTCAGTCCATTTTTTTCTGTCTTTGGACTGTTTTGTAGCCGAACTTGAAAGTTTTGCTGTCGGCACTGCTCAATCAGGCACGTGGCTCGCTATTGTGGACCGAGCTTTCCTTTACGTTGATAAGTTTTTTTGTGCTATTTTACCCATGCTCCACCCGTCCCAAGCTTGACCCGAACCGTGCAAGTGGTTTTCCAAGTGGAAGCCATTTTCGTGGCAGATACAAACCAGATAGATATATCGCCTCACTTCAGTAAACATTTTCGATCGGGATTCGAAATACCCACTGGGATGCTTTCAGCTCATACCGGAGATGTTGGCCCAACTTCGAAATGGGCACTCATGGGCAAATAAGCTGTGCGGAAATCTGATAGAAATTGATGAAAACTCTTCACATAGGCATGTGCAGGCAAACATTGATAGACTATTGATTTCACATGTCCTTGTGTTCATATTGCTTAGAAGAGCAAAAAAAAAGAAAACTAGCCAAAGAATCAGCTTCACGAGCTCTTCATGTGCTTCCGGACCATTATCGCTTGCGTTCTTTACTTTTTATAACATCTTTGAAGGAATTGTTCCGCAAATATTGGAAGCAATTTTTGGCTAGGCGTCACTAGTTGCGTGCAGCAACCTTCTTGTAGATAGCCGTACTGAGCTATTGACCATTTTTTGTCAAACTAACATCTTTGATGGGCTTTTGGGCAGATGAATTGAGTAGCATTTAAGCAGTTTGAAAATATAGTGCTGATGTATCATTATTATTCAGATCTGGTAAGTATTTTAGGCTCAACGTGTTTCGTCAAGCAGTCCACATCAAGCACAACCAAGTGAGTGGTTATCATGTCTCTTGTTTCTTTGTGCCGATTTGTATCCATTGGCTTATTGAAAGCATGGTCCTTCTCGAAAAATGCAAGCTCATTAGAGTGAAACTTATTCTCAAATGAATTCTTCTTTGCAATTAGTGGGGCTTGGAAAATATTTTTCTTCAAATTCCTCCTGATGATGCAGCCGGCCCTGCCGGCGTTTTCGCTATATGGTATCCAAACCGTTACATCATTCAAATTGAACGCAGTATTTGGTGTTATGCATTTAAGTTTTGAAAATATGACAGGCAAATGAGTTGTCAAACTCGAGCAACTATTTCCAATAGTTTTTGCTTTGGAGTTTAGCTGTCAATAGTATACAGTGGACCATATCTATGTGTAGAGGATTCCCGCACATCGCTGAAAATTTGCTTCAGGTTATGAGAGCGGTCGCGTTCTCACCAGCACCGACAACGACGAGAGTTCACGAGTATTTAATGCTCCTCATGTCGTTGAAAGCGGTCCTATACTCCTGCCACCGAAAGACTGATGCTATACATTAATTTTCCTGCGCGCCCTTCTTTTTGCGCCTTACTTTCCCCTAGGATTGCGGTGTCTTCTTGAGTTTTTGCACCATCTATGATTTTCTATAGGTTGTATTGATGCGTGATCTTGATTTTGTTTTGTTCCCATTGGAATGCTTCCTTCTTCATTGAGATTGCTCCATACAGTAGCATAATCTGTGGTAAATAGTAAAATAGGTTGAAATAAAGTAACTTATTATAAATTTTCTCTCATTTTTGAGTCGTAATGTGAATTGAGTGGTTGTTTTTTTTTTCATGTCAATATGCATCAAATTATCTTCATAAAGCCTGTGATTCATCGGAGTTATTGTCGAGGTGTTGCTTGAAAGCGTACTTTCCTCGTAGCTTCATAGTGTCTGTCATGGCTCAGGGTGTTATATCCGCTTCTGTTCACTTGAAAATAATAAAGCTTTTTTTGACCGTTTTACGTTTTCCTTGCAAGCTAGTGTTATTCTCGCTACATCCTGGATTGCTTCGGATGCAACCATTTCGTATTTGCAGAGCACCATAATTTTCCACGTGGAATCTGTAGACGATAGCCTTTTTATAAGCTTACCAACATAATCAGGTACGGAGGGTCAATAGGGCAAGTGAAGGTGTGATCATGGACGAGGACGGAGGAGCAAGCTCGGATATTATGTGTTTTACACCTCTGTGAGTTTTGTACCGCATACTGTCGAATTGAAGGGAAACTATTTGGATTTTAGTGGATCTGGCCAAGAAGTGGGACGTTCTTGCCATCTTCTCCATTTCAAAGGGAAGAAGATTTTGGTGAGTTGTCTAGCTAAAGATATTAGACGGCAGCGTTAGGAAATTGAAATTAAGTGTTGGTAGGAGCCCGAATTAGTGATGGCGTTTGGGTCGTTTTCTACAAGTCAAAGAACTGTGAGAAATGCGCAGATAGATCGTTTCTCACAGTTCTTGGACTTTTAGAAAACAGCCCCAACAAGCGTGGAAGAGCTTTAGTGGCTATGGAGAGAGACATTTCGCAATTTCCAGTGAAGCATGGTTGAGTAAATTGAAATCCCATATTAAAACATTTTCGAGTGTCCTTAATAAGCACAGGCTAAGCCATTGTCCGCTGTTCTCACAGTGGTCGAACCATGAATCGAAAGTGAAGGATCACTACTTAGGACGTATAGCAGCATAATGGCGGCATTTTGCCGGCTGCTATGAGCCGTAACGTCGTGGTAGCCTCAGGAAACACTCACTTTCTTGAAGCAAAGAGCATGGAAAACCTAGAAATGGCATTTTCAAATATCAAACCTGTCCGCGGTTTTGATGACGCTTTTAATGTCATTGAGCGTTGGTGGAAGGGCGTAAGAGGGAGCTCAAGCATGTCCACCAGTGCTGAGGGGTCTAGTCCACCGACGTCATCATACTGCGCCGCCCATCGACCATCGTGATCACTGCCTTTGAGCATTTTTGTTGTTCAGATTACGGGTCAGCAAAGTTCTCAGTCATTGTATTGTATAGGTGGAGCTAAGAGGACTGCGTACGAGGGTAAAGGAGAAAAAGCGAAAAAAATATTCAAAAGATCTCAAAGTTCAACATGTTTGTAGTCCTCTGGTGTTGTTAGTAGAAGGGATTCTATGGTGTTTCCTAATCTTGAAGAACCCATTCGAATCTAATGGAAAGAGTTCAGTTCAGTTCAGTATGATTACCTAATTCAAGCTGAAATAGAGGAAAAGTGCATTTTCCTGGCCCTGATCGCTTCCCTGTGTAGGTATGTATCCATATCATTGTTAAACATCGTCACCCTTCTTGATTGCTGTGTTCAGCTTAGGCCGAAATGGGAAAAGATCGGTTTTTAGTGCCATTCAGCAATAAATAAGCAATCATTCCTCATATATTTTTACATTTTTTGAGATTCACTTCATCTAATGAAAACATTTCCAGCTGGACTGTGGTGTACATCCTGGGATGCATGGAGTAGATGCTCTCCCTTTTGTTGATTTCATAGATATCGAAGAAATCGATCTTCTTCTGGTGAGATCTTTGTTTGCTATTTTTTTGATCTCTAGCTATAAAATTGTGAAGCATCCAGCTAGTCTCTGATAATACTCCAGTACAACATTCTATGAATTCTTCTTGGTAGACCAATGTCATGG